TACGACAGTTGCAAATTCAGCCTCGATGAGGCGGTACAACGGCGGGGATAATAGTTTGTTTTATACTCTGTAGAGATGCCGGAATCAAATCCCACAACTGACGTAAATTTTCTAATTAACCGCTAATTTATTTGGCTAAAGAATTCACGCCACTGTGCTCCTGTGTACCCAACCGAGAAACGGGTAGCATGATTACACCGCAAATCACAGCAATAGCGTTGACCGTTGGTGTACTTATGCCATACCTCGTGAGACTCACAGCCAGGCTGCCTGATGCATATGCCTTACCGTTGTAATTTGCCTTGACCCACCTAACAGCTGACCAAATCGGCACAAGGTGTGAGCGATAAAAAATTTAAAAAAGGCATTACCTGTCTTTTCTTTGATTTCGCACAGCACAGAGAAAAGAGCTGCCTTCATTCGATGACAATTCAGCTGATGTTTCCTGAATTGACTCAAAAATTAAGAAGCTTAAAAATAGCATAAAACTGAAGTTAAACCTAGCTTGGGCCTCATCCAAACTTTGATCGGTAATGTTCATGATTTGCTGCAGCAGGTCATTGATGTCCGCCTGCTGCGGCATTTGCTGTTGTTCCGGTGGTACGGCGTTCGTCGAACACAGCATGCTGCCGTTCAACAGCAAATGGTCCATGCCCACATCACTGATGGTGGTGCGACAGTCGCAAACGGCTGAGCGATAACATAGAGTAATAAAAGAATTCGCCGATCGATCAGTCAAGTAACGATGAGGAAGTTTCTATTACAAATCAATATACAAACAAAACAATATATAGCAAAATAATACAAAAGAACAATCGCGAAATAAGTGCAGTTTTAGTCAGAGTTACAATAAAGATTAATAATATGGCTTATGAAGTCGAACTTGCTTGAGATCGCCGACGATATAAAAAACGGACTTTGAAAAAATATTGGCTGGCATTTAATCCACGAGTTCGAGTTAACTGTGAAGGTTCAAGGCCTTCGTATTGATTTGCAGCAGTCGATGCCTGAATGGGGGTGGCGGGTAGAGGTGCAATTGGTTAGTATGTTTTTATTCATGTTATAGTACCGGGTTCAAACCCAACGCACTTTTTTCCCTTATTTACTGCTAATTCCCTTGAGCAACAAATTCATGCAACCATGCATCGATGCAACCAGCCAAAAACGGTTAGCAGGACTTTGACTTGCGAATGATAGGGACAGCATGGCTGTTTGGTACGGTCACGCCAATGCACGCACCTTACGGCGGAAATTCGAATTGTCCCCACTTAACTAAAAACCAGT